CACACACTCACACTCTCACACACACTCTCTCACACACTCACACACACACACACACACACACACACACACGCACTTCTTCTGTTCATCAAGGCTGCATTTATTTGATCAAAAATACAGAAAAAACTAAAATTGTGAAATATTATTACTATTTAAAGTACTGGTTTTCTATTTTAATATACTATAACATTTAATTTATTTCTGTGATGCGCAGCTGTATTTTCAGCATCATTAGTGTTGCTTCTCAAGTAAATTGATCTTGTTTTAAGGATATTTCTATATTTTAACTGGAAAATAAGACTCATTAAAAATGTGATGCAGTCTACATAGGCAGCTCACTAGGTTTCAGAACAGAGCCGATGCTTCATTAAACTCTGTGATATAAAACATTCATCTGGTTGCAGTTCTGCTGCTTTTAGACTGGCAGTGAAGTCTGCAGCCGCTGTCATTGCATGTGTTTGCATGGGAAGAGCGTACAAACTCCTGTTTTCTGTCACTCTCCCTGAATCTGCTGATTTCTCGTGAACTGTGTGATGTCATGATGTGCAAACACTGAACTAACGTTCAGGTCGTCGGTAGTTTGACTTCCTGTCACTTTCAAAACATTGATCTGTTTGTTTGAGCGGCCCGGCCAATGATGTGAGTTTGGGGCGGGGCTACCTGTTGGACTGACCAATGAGATGACGCTAGATGACACTTGCTTCGATTTAAGCTAATGCAATTAATTATTCATGAACTATTTTTTGAGATATTGTCGGTTATTTTTCTTACTGTATTTTTGTTTTTACATGTCATTAAGTGGAGAATTATTGAGAAAAAGCAAATGATATCAATATTTGTAGAATATGTGTTATATATAATTATTTAATAATAATTATAATAATTTAAATGCATTTATATTATGTAATAGACAATAATAATAATAATAATATTTCCATAATGTATTTTTATATCTAATTATTTAATAATATAATCATGATAATGCTTTTTAATAGTAAGACTAAAGCCCCGTTCACACCAAGAACGATAACTATAAAGATAACGATATTAGCGTCCACACCAGCGA